ATAAGAGGTGCTAGAGTTAGAGAGGGACGCCCTGCTCTGATGGCCTGTGGTACTTTGTTTCACAATTGCGGTTGTGTGACAAGTTAAAATAGAACATATTAATAATCTGAACATAAGATAATTAAATACAGTAAATTCATGGTCTCCATCCATCCATCCTCTTATCTGGGATCGGGTCGCGGGGTAAATTCTTGGTCTGTGATTTTAAAATGTGTACTGATGTTAAAAAACGGTAATACATTAATCTGCAGAAGTTCATAAGAATTGCCTAAAACCATAAAATTGGGTAATATAGTCAAAATATGTCATCTGATTTAAAAAGGGTTAAAACGCTAAAAAGTGGTTTATCTTGCATTGTTTATTTTGTTGTGAATATGTCATTTGCAGTGTTGGGCAAGCTTCTTGGAAAATGTAGTGAGCTAAGCTACTAGCAAATCTACATAAAATGAAGCTTCACTACACAGAAGCTACCCCCCATTGAAATGTAGCAAGCTAAGCTACAGCAACGTGGCAAAAGTTGCTTAGTTACATCAAAGCTACTTAAAAATGTTTTAATATTTTATAGATATAAAATTGTTATTTTATAGTTATATAAATATATACACACACACACACACACACACACAGGTGCTGGTCATATAATTAGAATATTATCAAAAAGTTGATTTATTTCAGTAATTCCATTCAAAAAGTGAAACCTGTATGATGTATACATTAATTCCACACAGACTGATAGATTTCAAGTGTTTATTCCTTTTAATTTTGATGATTATAACTGAAAACTAATAAAAAAAACAAATCAGTATCTCTGAAAATTAGAATATTGTGAAAAGGTTCAATATTGAAGAGACCTGGTGCCGCACTCTGCACCTGCAAAGACCTTTAAATGGTCTCTCAGTCTAGTTCTGTAGGCTACACAATCATGGGGAAGACTGCTGACTTGACAGCTGTCCAAAAGACGACCATTGACACCTTGCACAAGGAAGGCAAGACACAAAAGCTAAAGAGGCTGGCTGTTCACAGAGCTCTGTGTCCAAGCACATTAATAGAGAGGTGAAGGGAAGGAAAAGATGTGGTAGAAAAAAAGTGTACAAGCAATAGGGATAACTGCACCCTGGAGAGGATTGTGAAACAAAACCCATTCAAAAATGTGGTTGAGATTCACAAAGAGTGGACTGCAGCTGGAGTCAGTGCTTCAAGAACCACCACGCACAGACGTATGCAAGACCTGGGTTTCAGCTGTCGCATTCCTTGTGTCAAGCCACTCTTGAACAAGACCCAGCGTCAGAAGCGTCTCGCCTGGGCTAAAGACAAAAAGGACTGGACTGCTGCTGAGTGGTCCAAAGTTATGTTCTCTGATGAAAGTAAATTTTGCATTTCCTTTGGAAATCAAGGTCCCAGAATCTGGAGGAAGAGAGGAGAGGCACAGAATCCACGTTGCTTGAAGTCCAGTGTAAAGTTTCCACAGTCAGTGATGGTTTGGGTGCCATGTCATCTGCTGGTGTTGGTCCACTGTGTTTTCTGA